TCAATTATTTGATCATATATACCTTGTGGCATATTTCACAGATTGTGTCGCCTTTCTCGTTACACCAACGCTGAACACACTTCCTATGAGCATACTGAACACAACAGAAAAAAAACAAAATTCACATTTTCAGATCAAAATATACCAACAATAAGAAAAGAACAATGAGTTTATGAGGTCGATATAATTCAAGAAACCAAATTTCACCTTCAAACTGCCGCTACAAGAACAAGGGGACTCGAGGTTCTTAACGGAATCTTCCTCTTGGCATATACGGCATTCAACCGATTGGATAAGCGGTTCCTCTTCATCAGCAACATCATCGCGAACTTGTTCCCTCGTTTCTTCTTCCTCAGTTTTATCATCCATAGATTTAGTAGTAGACAGGCTTGTGGTGCCTTGAGCTTTGGAACTTTCTCCAGTCGATTCATTGGTTCCTCTCTCTGAATTTAAGCTTTCAGATGTCACGAGACGATCGGTACAAAAACTCAGATTATCAGCCATCTCTTACACTTGCAGCCTCAATGCTATTAAAAAAAAAGACGTTGACCTGTAAAAAAAAACCAAGAATTCTCCATAAACATCGAAGCAAAATGACAAATGTTCCATTTCTACCAATCCAAACATCATAATTCAGCTCACACAATCAAATTCATTTCCTTGAAGCGGAAAATCTCTTCATGAAAACGATTAGGATCTGAATTAAACAAATCTTTGTCTCAAAATTTTCCACACAGAGACCTAATCGAAAAAACCCCAAATTTCATAACAGAGAAAGAGACACGATTCGATCACAATTCAGAAAATGAAACCCTAAAATCGCAGAAATCAAACAACCATAACCCATAAAGAGACGAAGATCAATTATCATTACCTATAAGAGAAATAATCTGGAATCGTAGAAAGGGGAAAAGAAGCTCTCTTTCGATTTTTTTTTTCTTGAAGACAAAAGCTCTCAAACGAAACTCGGACAAATGTGTTTTCTTGTTTGATGTTCGGTCTGAAAATTTCAGATAAAGTAAATAAATTTTTCCAAGCGCGTG